CGCCCCCCCTGCACCATCCCGCTGTCTGGCTGATGGGGGCCTTGGGATGCCCCCTGCCCCCCTCCGCGCTGTCCCGCCGACTGGGGGCCTTGGGGCAGGCCGGGCGCCCCTTCTGCCCTCACTGCCGCCCTGCCCCGCCCTGCCCCGCAGTCTTTGGCATCATTGGGATCTTCTGCCTGGCCTCCTCCACCGGCCTCTACAGCTGCCTGTCACCCTGGGTGCAGAGACTGCCGTTCTGCACGTGCAGGTGAGCCCCAGATGCAGCTTCCGCGCACGTCCACTTCTGTCCTGCCCACCCTCCCCTGGAGCCCCACACTTTGCCAGGGCCCCGGGCCAGTGGAATGACCCTGGCATACGGCAGGGGCCTCGGGAGCAGGTCAGAGTGGGGACGTGTGGGGCACGGTTCTCTGACCTTCTGCCTCCCCATCCCCAGGCCCTGTTCTGGGTCAGGCCCAGTGGGGTCACAGGGCTGGAGTGGGGCAGCCTGACTGCGTGGGCTCTGGTGGGCAGGCCTGGCCTGCAGCCGGCCGGGGTCTGCCTCCCCAAAGTGCCGGCCCCCAGCCGGCCGAGCTCTGCCCTTGCAGAGGGGATGAGGAGTGTGAGGGGGAGCGTGAGGCGGAGGTAGGTGGGCCCGCAAAGCCCGGAGAACCGAGGAGGCCCCAGAGGCGGGGGCTGCTGGGGTCAGGATGTGGGCCCGGGGGCTTTTGGCAGGAGTTGAGATGCCCCCCCTGCGAGCCAGACAGGGATGGGTGAGAGGTGGGTCAGAGGGGGTGGCGAGGGCCGTGCCGCTGACAGCCGCCCCATTCCCCAGGGTCCCCGACAACGGGCTGCCCTACTTCCACAAGCGCCCCCAGATCCGCATGCTGCTCCTGGCGCTGCTGTGCGTGGCCGTCAGTGTGGTGTGGGGAGTCTTCCGGAACGAGGACCGGTGAGTGCAGCCCTGGGTCCCAGGCCGCAGGGAGGCTGTCCTCAGATGCTCTGAGCGGCTGTGACCTCCCGGCACCCCTCCGAGGCCGTGTGCACCGGTTCATGTCCTCAGTGGTTAGCAGTCCTCCCAGCTCTCTGGAAGCGCCCAGGCGCCACTCTGTCCGCCCTGCGTCCTGTTTCACTGGGTTTGTCCGGGCGCCACGGAGACTGTGATTAGAATCTGGACGTGAGGGGCTGCAGACCCCCCTGCCAGGAGCCCCAGCCGTGGGGCCTGGGCACGGGAGCCCCCGTGCAGGCGGCAGGCTCTGCTCCTTCAGCCCCTCCTCGGCTCGGCCCGGGGCCCACGGGTCGGGTGGACAGAGCAGGCCTGTCCCAGCCCAGCTGCCACCTTCTCCGGCTGCCGCTGTCTGGCTCTTTCTCCGAGCCTTCCGGAGGCAGTCAGACGCTCTTGGCTGCGCTGCATTTGGAGCCATGACAGATTTCACTGGCAGAAGGAAAATGCAAAAATATTTTAGTTTTTTGTACATAAAGAGAGCACCAGCTCTCGCAGCTGAGCCTGAGCCAGCAGACTTGCTCCGTCATGGAAGATCGGAACAGGCTGTGGTTCCCGCCACGACCGGCTGCCTGTACACCCTCTCTGTTCCTCACAGCCACCCCGGCCGGGAGATGGCTCAGCCCTGTCTGATGGGTCACGGGGGCAGCAGAACCCCACCCATGGCGGGGGCGCGGCGGCTGGGCCCTGGGGGGGCGCACAGGACGCCTGCCTCCTTTCCCAGCCGGCCCCACGCCCCTCCCAGAGCCTCCGCATGGGATGCGGGCAGCACAGACTTAACTTGCAGATCGGGAAGAATTGCCCTGCCTTGGCGGCTTCCTCTGCCTTTTCGTCCCCTGCCACTCCCGTGGGTGTCCCTGGGTGGTCCCATTTCCCCTGGGCCAAGATTTGGTGTGGAACCTGGCTGGGTGAGCGTTTTGCTTTCCTGAACCATTTATAAATCATTTCTAGGGCAAGTTTGAGTCTGGTGGGTGTGCTGTCCCTGCTCACCCTGTCATCTAGGTGTGAATGGGGCTGAGACCCTGGCATGTGCCCACCCCTGACCCAGCGCAGGGAAGGGGGTCGATTCTCCCTGGCTCCCGCCGTCTGCACCGCTGCGTGGGGCCCCAGCCGCGGCTCTCAGAACCCACGCCACGTCCGGCTGCCCGGGGCTCGACAGTGAGGCGGGGTCAGGCTGCGTGCGGTGTGCAGGGCGGGGCTGCTCTGCGTTCCAGGTGGGCCTGGATCCTTCAGGACGCGCTGGGTGTCGTCTTCTGCCTCTACATGCTGAAAACCATCCGCCTTCCCACTTTCAAGGTGAGAGCCTCGGGGGTGAGCTGGCGGGGAGGGGGGTCTGGGGATGTGGGGGCAGGGCCGGGGCAGCCTGCGTCCTGGGGGCCCCTTCCGAGCGGCCGCAGGCCTGCCCCTTTCCCTGCTTTGCCGGGGGCCTCGCGCTCCAGGCTGACCCTCAGCGGGTGGTATGGTCTTCATGTGTTTGTCCCTCCAGCCACTCGGCTGAGCTCTGCCGTGGCCTTCTGTCATGGCACCAAAGTGGCCACCTGGCCACGAGGACGCATGGTGTCCTGGCCCACATGGGCTTTGCAGGGCGGCTCCTTCCTGCTGACTGCGCTGTGCTGGGGCTGGTGTCCCGTGGCGCCAGGGGGTGGAGGGGAGGGAGGTGACCACATGGGCAGGGGCGCCTGCTTGGGCCTGAGCACCCCAGTGCCGGGCCCAGGCTGTCTCCCAAGGCCCCGCAGCGATGAGACAGACCTGGGGCCTGTGAAGACCGGGCACGGATGCGTGTCTCCTGACCCCACATCTCCCATGCCCCTCGCTCAGAAACCTAGAGTCCACTTTAGCCCCCAGCCCCCAGCATTGCCCCAGGCGCTCGCCCTCAGCCCTCCCCCCCCGAGGGGCGGCTCTGGTCTTGCTCGCTTTCTCGGAAAGGCTTCATCCCAGCGGGGCAAGTCCAAGCCCTGCAAGGGGCCCGAGGGGGGCCAGCGGCGCCAGGGAGCCAGTGCCCTCAGGACACCCTGTCCGCAGGCCTGCACGTTGCTGCTGCTCGTGCTCTTCATCTACGACGTCTTCTTCGTGTTCGTCACCCCCTTCCTGACCAAGGTGGGCGCCCCAGTCCCCCTGCACCCGCCCCCCGGGGCCCGGGCCCCCCGCGCCTGCACCTGACACAGCACCCCCTTCTGCTAGAGTGGGAACAGCATCATGGTGGAGGTGGCCACCGGGCCCTCGGACTCGGCCACGCGCGAGAAGGTGGGTAGCCGGCGTGGGGCTGCGGCCTGCGTAGGGCAGAGGGGGGCCGGGTGGACTGCAGGTGCTCTCTCCTCTGTCTGCCCAGCTCCCCATGGTCCTGAAGGTGCCCAGACTGAACGCCTCACCGCTGGCCCTGTGTGACCGGCCCTTCTCCCTCCTGGGCTTTGGGGACATCCTGGTTCCAGGTACTGGGGCTGGGCAGGGGGGCTGGGTGCCTGGGGCACCCAGGGTCCCTGGGAGGATCAGGGCAGAGGGGCCAGTGGTGGAGACGGCCAGGCAGGTGGAGAGGCGGCTGGCAGGTGGGTGGCAGGGAGCAGCCTGCCCGTGCTGTCAGGATGCAGAGATGCGCCCACTGCGCTGCCCCAGGCCCACCCCTGGCGGGGCCCCTCTGTCCCCTGGCCCCAGCTGTGGGGCTCGTGGCCAGCCCCCTGTCATCCCGGGAGTCATGCAGTTGGCGTCCCGAGCTGGCAGCCCCATGGTGGCGGTGTGCTGCCCAGTGCGTGGGGCCCTGGCTGGCTGGCCCATGCTGTGTCTCCGCAGGGCTGCTCGTGGCCTACTGCCACAGGTTCGATGTGCAGGTGCAGTCGTCCAGGGTCTACTTCGTGGCCTGCACCGTTGGTGAGTGCCCCTGCCCGCCCCGAGGCCTGGGCTCCCGTCACCGTGCCTTCTGTCGTTTCCCTGACTTTGTGTGGTTTTCTTCTTTTCTGTCCTTTATGTCTTTTCCTTTCCTGGTCTTCCCTTTGTTTCTTTTGTCATCAAAGCCATTCACACAGAAGTGATTTTTGCTCATTTTTTTGTCGGGTCTTGTTTTTGCAGATCCCCCCACCTGTGTGGCTGTCCCTGCCCTGTCAGCTCTTCAGGAGGTGGGGGGTGCCACCCCCGCCCTCATCTGCCCTCGCTCATAGGCAGGGGTGCGCAGAGCACAGGCCCTGGCAGCCCCACTTGGCCGGGGAGACTCCACAGGTACCCCCTGTGGTGCCAGGAGCAAAGACTGGCCTGTGGTGGGCGTACCTCTGGGTTGTCACTGGCTGCCCTTCCATCCGGTTCCTGAGGGCGGGCTCCCTGGCCGGGCCCATTTAGCACACCTAGACCTTCCCTCCGCCACTTGGTCCTGTGGTTATCCCCTAAAACTGCGGCTGCAGGCGCTTTGCTCTGTATGAACCAGCCTGTCAGAGGGCTTCTCCAGTTCCTATCATTGCAACCCGATAGGCCCTCGGGGGCGGCTCACACCTTTGTTGTCCACACTGAGTCAGCTCTTTAGCATGTAGGGATTGTCCACAGTCGCCAAATGGGAGCCGGCCCTGCATAGTCATTCCACATGGGACGGGGCCAGAGGGGTGAGGGTGTGAGCCGTCAGGGGGGTCGATTCCCCAGAACTTCATCTCGAACCTTTGCTGTTTACAGTTGTGGGATCAGCACAAAGCACTTGGGCGCAGGGCTGCCGGCTTCGGTGAATGGCCGCCTTTGCTTTGCTGCGGTCTCTGAGCGTGCTGCTTGTGTGTTGGCACAGTCTCGTCCTGTGTGCACATGCTCTGTGTTTACGTACTCACAACATGTGTGTTCCTGTGCTCAGGCTACACGTGCACATATTACATACTCACCCTGTATGCGTGCATTTACATGTCCCTGCTGTGTGTGCACGGATACATCTGTTCATGCTATACACACCTGTGTATATTCACACTGTGCAGATGCATGCTCACACTGTGGACATGTGACACATACTTATATATCCCCATGGTGTAAGCACACATGTTTACATATTCACACTATATCTGCACATGTGTCTGTACTGGATGTGTCAGGCCCCTGCCGTGCCCACTCTGTGCTTCACCGAGGACATCAAGAACAAAAACATCCCTTTATGTGATCACAAAGCAGTCATCGAAAATTTCATTTCCCAACTCAATACATGTATTCCCTTAATTCACATTAACCTTCCTAACTGAAAAGTTATAAAAGCAGGATACTCAGGCACGTTCACCCCTGTGACCCCGGCCCTGAGGTCCCCGTCCTCAGCCCCCCGCGGTGCCCTTCCTGCTTTCTCTCTGACCCTGACCCGCACTCTCCCGACCTGGGGGCCAGGCAGAGGCAGTGCCCAGCCCCCGGCACGCCCGCACGCTGCGTCTGGGGCGTGCCAGCTGCCTCTCGCCCTGTGCCCCTGCACTGCTGCCTGCCCTGGTGTTGCTGTGCAGGGCAGCTGGTGGCCCTGGGCGGCCTGGCCAGGCTAACATGCTGCCCGTCTCTGTCCCCCAGCCTACGGCGTCGGCCTGCTGGTGACGTTCATGGCCCTGGCCCTCATGCAGCGTGGCCAGCCTGCTCTCCTCTACCTGGTGCCCTGCACGCTGATCGCCAGCTGCACCCTGGCCCTGTGGCGCAGGGAGCTGGGCATGTTCTGGACGGGCAGTGGCTTTGCGGTGAATACCAGTTCGCTCTGACTGCAAGGGCAGGGGCCCAGTAAGCCCTGACTAGTTCCAGTTGAGTGAATCCTCCCAGTGCTGCAGCTAAACCCCGCAGCCCATGCCCGTGTCCGGAAGATCGTGTTTGTTCAGCGGAGGCTTGGCTGTCCCAGTGGAGGGGCCGTGCCTGTGGCTGCCACCCGGGTATGACAGGGGTGGTGCCAATAGCCCTCCTAGAGGTGCCAGCCCCCCTTTGCAATGACACCCCATTTGACTGGACATCGGTCTGCCTGCTTCTGCCATCAGGACCGCAGCACCAGGCTTGGGGGTGCCGGCGCCCTTTGCCAGGGCGAGAGCTGCCACAGCTCAGGTGCCTGACTCGGGGCCAGCCTGGCCTCCCCCTCACGGGTAGGGGGCCCTCCGCCAAGGCAGCACTGCCTCCCCACTGCCCGCAGCGGGTCCCGTGGGGCTGGGTTCGCTGCCGCTGGAAGCAGAGGAGCCCAGGGAGGAGTCCGTCTGAGGGCGTTCGAGTGCCCCTTCGGGACCTGGGGGACTGCCTGCACTTGCCCAAAGGTCCGCAGCCTCCCGCCTGCCTGGCAGCCGATCACAGGGGGTCCCACTGGGCACGGGCACTCTGGGGTGGTGTCCTTAAACGTGTTACTGTTAGGTTTTATGGGAGTTAAACCCCCAGCCCTGTCTGTCCTGGTGCAGAGGTGCTGGAGCCAATCAGGACTTCAGGTTGTCCCTGGGCACAGGTTCACCCAGGTAATCAGCCTAACGGGGCCGTCCGTCCTCAGCAGCTGTAGAGCTGGACCCTCGCCTGACCTCAGGGAAGGCCTCGGTCAGTGCCCCCATGCTCAGGGGGTCTCAGTCCCAGGCTCTGGCTTTGCTGCAGGGCAGGTGGGCTAGTTGTAGAAGGTTCAGGTGGCGGGGGAACAAACCAGAGACAGGGTTGTCAGAGGGTTTCTGCCTCGCCTCTCCCCCACTGTGGCCCTGCGTGCTGGCAGCTGTCCTGAGTCCCCAGGAAAGGGCTCTGCTGCTTGTCCTGGGCCTGGAGCCTGGCCCCTGCGGACAGGGATTCATCTGCCCCCACCCCCTGTCCCCGCCTCTGGCTCCCCGCTGCCCCAGCAGCTCTCCTGACACCTGACTGCTGACCTCCTTTCTTGCAGAAGGACCTACCTCAGTCTTCTTGGGCACCAGCTTCCACTGACGGCCGGCAGCCTCAGAGAAGCTCAGATGCCTGCGCCTCCCAACAGCCTCCAGGCGAAGAGCCGGCCAAGCCTCCCCTGCCTGCAGAGCAGTCCCCGGAGCCATCCGCCCCTGAGGAGAAGGGGGCCAGTGCACCCACCCAGGAGCCCACGAGCCCACCCAGCCGCACCCCCGAACCCATGGGGCTGCCAGGGGCCTTGGCCTAGGAGGGGGCAGTGCAGACCCCCAGCCCCTCCACGCTGAGAGGGGCTCGTGACGCAAACAAGCCCCCCCACTCCTCGGTGCTCTGGTCTGGCCAATGCCTGCATCCAGGCGGGGGCACCGCTGTCCCCACCCTGACTCCGACTCCTCTGCCTCCACCACCAGTGGAGCCTGCTGTACTCCGGACCCTCCAGCCTGCCGAGGTCACCGCCGTCCGAGTGCCCAGCTGCGTTGTGCTCGGGGTGCGCCTCACAGGGCAGGGGGCCTGGGCTGCACGCGGAGCAGATGTGCCCACACTGGTGCTCACCGCGCTGCTGCTCCCTGGGCTCCCCCAATGGCACCCCGGCCCCGCAGGAGGGGGGCTCCTGCCTCGCAGCGCAGCCCCTGGCTGAGCAGAGGCCTTCCGGCCGTCCAGCGGGTCTGGACACGAGCCCTGAGCCCTGCAGGTTTAGGCTCAGGCTGTGGGCCCAGCCGGTGTGGGCGTGGACCCCCTCAGGGCTGGCAGGCGGCCTCCAGGGCCGCACCCTGCCGGCTCCTCCTTCTTCCTGGAAGGCGCCCTGAGCCCGCCCTTGGCTATCGCCTCATTTTAATAAATGGCCGCGACATTTTGGGATGCCCGTAGTGTTGGTTCTTGGGTGTTAGTCTTTGTCACCCTTCTGAGGATGGGTGGGCGCAGGGCCAGTGGACAGGTCCTCAGGGTCACCCCCCGCGGCTGCGACAGCCAGCTCCCGTCCCTCGGCTGCATCCTGCCTTTCTGCACAGAGGGACCTGGTGTCCCTCCCTCGCCCAGGGCGTCTGCTCCTTCTCACTCTCATCCCAGCGCCCCTGGCTCCTGCTGCCCAGGCGAGGCGGGCGCACTTACAGTTTAAATCACGAGGAGAATATTCTGGAACCGGCATTTTGTCTTCTACCTCACCGACAGGGTTCTCTGAGGCTCGTGGCGTGGCACTGGGGGTGCCTGTGCTCCAGCCCTGCCGTGCCCGGCCACGCTCGTGGAGGCACAGACCCTGCAGCTTGGTGTGGCCCGGCCCCGGCCCCACCTGCCTGCCATGCCCTTGGGTGGCGCAGTGTGACCCACTGTGAGCACAACCAGTGTCAGACCTGCACTCAGCCCTTGCCAGCCACGCTTCCCGAGGGAGAAACAATGTTTATTCCAAAAAACACTAAGCATCTTCCACCTGCTTTTGTGTATTTCTTCAAAAGAGTGGGGGGCCTGGGAGAGGGGGGTGGCCTAGGCGACAGGCTGAGCAGACTCCCTGGCATCATTCTAAGCCATCTTGTATGTCGGTGTCAGAGCGGGGAATGTCTTCTCTGTTCTGGAAATTTGACAAATGTGGAGAAATTCAAAGGGAGATGTTAGTTCCTCAAGTTCCCATTTGCAGTTTTCGCCTCGCTTCTGTTTGAATCTTGTAATTAAACACAGCTTTTGATACCACCTGGCCTTGGCTTTTTCCGTGGGGGCAGCGAGCGGCGGCACCTCGAGCAGGGATGGTCTGGCCTTTGTGGCTCGAATACCTGCGCAGGCAGGGGAGCCCATCGCCGGCCAGGTGGCCAGAGGAGACGCGGGCCTTTGGCTCAGCTGCAGTGACGCTGACTGCCCTACCGGGGTGGGGTCCTAACGAGTGGCATTTGCAAGTCGAAGGAAGCCTCGAAGTGAGTAGGCTGCCCTCTGTGATAGCTTACCCGTGATTGTCTAGGCAGTGTGGAAGCAGATCGCCTCTCCCAGGGACCGCTGGGGCTTCTCAGGCCACACAGCCACTGTCACAAGCAGTGGACTCTGCTGTCATAGCCAGACATGACACGGACGCATGAGCAACTGGGCATGACTGTGGCCAAAGCATTTGATGGACACTGGAACGTGGGTTCCCTGTCCTTTTCATGGGTCACAAAATAGTCTCCTTTTGATATTTTTCAACTAGAATATGTACAACCATTTCTTAGCAAGCAGCTGGGCAGACGAACAGGCAGTGGGCACTGAGCCCTCCTTCAGGAATGCACATCCTAATGGAATGAGGGGAGCAGGATGGGCTTTGGGGGCCACAGTGGCAGGTGAGCGTGGTTGGTGCCCAGCACCCAGGCAGAGAGGGCACCTGGGGACAGAGGGAGTCCGGGAGGGCATTTGAGGACAGAGGGCATTTGAGGACGGAGGGTGAGGAGCCTGGCAGAGAAGGGTGGGGGGGGTGCCCGCCACGTGGGGAAGGCACCACAGCAGGAGGGGGGGTTGGCATTCAGCCCGGTGTCTGCCCTGAGGGAGAGGGGGTGGCCCCAGCGGCCCCAGGCTACTCCCGACGCAGCTGTCCTGGCTCAATGGACTTGGCAGTGAGAGGAGTGCAGCGGAGGCAGCCCCCTCTGCCCGAGAGGTGGCAGGTACTCCCGCAGGTCTGCTGGGTAAATGGGGCGGCTCGGCAGGCTGCTGGGGCCCGGCGGGACTGCCGTGCTCCCCACAAGTCAGTGGCACTTGGGACACAGAGACGGTGCCACCACACACGGTACAACAGTGGGTCTCTGAGGAAGCTCAGACGATACCCCAAAGCAGCTTGGCAAAAGACGGTGGCCCCGCGGAAGCCCAGGGCCGCCCCGGCCAGTGTGCAGAAGGTCCCGTGACAGGCAGGAAACCTGGGGTGTCCGCGTGGCCTGTCAGAACTGAGGCCACGCCATCGCCCAGCGCGACAGCGGGGAACACAGCGAAGGCCCCCCAGGACCTTCCCCACAAGGGACGTCCCCGCAGCCCAGAGGGTCCGGGGAGTGGCCAGAGTATCAGTGGGGGCGTGGACAGAGGTCGGCCACGGGGGGCACCGCCCAGGACCCTGGACCGTCTCCGCACCCTTCTGTAAATCTGCTCCAGGATTTTAAATGTTTATTTTTAAAATACAGTGGTTATTCCGACCCCCAGCCCTTCCCCAAGCCCTGGCCCACCACCCGCTCCCGCCCCTCCGGAAACCGCCGGGAGTCCAGGGTGGGCGGAGGCCCGGCCCGTGACCCCGCCCGGTGGGCGCGGCCCAGGCCCGATCGGGGACGCGTGGAGACCCTCCCCCGGCCCGCGCCTCCCGGGTGGGCGGAGCCCCGGGCTGGCGGCCCTCGGGTCCCTCGGCGCCCGCGGCTCCGGGACGCGCGGCGGGAGCAGCTCGGGCGCAGCGGTGAGAGGGGGTCCCCAGATGGGCGGCCTCGGGGCGGCGGCCCCGCAGCGTGGCCCCCGGGCTGTGCGGACGTCGGGGGCTGTGCGGACGTGGGGGGCTGTGCAGACGGACGTGGGGTCTGTGTGGACAGACGTGGGGTCTGTATTGACGCGGGCTGTGCGGATGGTCGTCGGGGACCGTGCGGACGGGGGCTATGTGGATGTGGGGGGCTGTGCGGACGTGGGGGGCTGTGTGGACGGACGTGGGGTCAGTGTGGACGCGGGTTGTGTGGACTCCAGGTTGTGTGGACGCGGGCTGTGTGGACGCCCGCACACTGCATTTCTGGAGCAGCCACGGACCCTGTCTTCTTTGCTGAAACTTTGCTGACACCCAGGGAACCCTCTGTCGGGCCATGGGGACCCCAACCCATAGGGAGCTGCCCTGCTGCTCTCCCTGGGATTGGGCTCCACCTCCCAGCTGCTCTGAGAGAACAAATGGCCCAGATTTGAGGGGAGCAGTTTGGGAAGGGTGGCATCCAAAGGCCTGAATGGGGGATGAGGGTCCCCTTTGCCTGGGGGAGGGTCACATAGGTTCAATCCCTATGGCAGGAAAGCCAGGGAGTCAGAACTGTCTGAGGGTGGGGGGCGGGGGTTCCCCTGGCCAGGCCTGCATCCCCCTTTCCCCTGGTTAAGCCCAGGCTCCGGACCCCACAGGGAAGGTGTGGGCTCCAGGGGTGCATGAGGCTTGGGGCACGTGTATTCGCATCAAACACAAACTCCCTGCCCCTCCCCAGGTCAGGTCTACCTACTGGATGGCCAGGTCCAAGCCTTGGGGCCCCCAGGTGTGTAAGTGGATCCCTGCTTTGTGCATTGTGTCCACAGGGGGCAATATTTGACGGACGGGGTGGCGGATCTGTGCACGCCTGGGCAGGGCATTGAGCCAGCTGACACACACCCAACCCATCTGCCCACAGCCCTGGCTGGTGGTGTGTGATTGTGTGCAACTGTGTGTGTGTGTGGTAAGTGATCATGTAAGGGTGTGTTATTACATGTTTCCATGTGGTTGTATGTGGTTGTGTCTAGGTAACCAAGTGTGTGACCACGTGCGTGTTTGTGTGTGGTGGTGTGACGATAGTGTGTGGCTGCATATGACTGTGCAACATGTGTGTGGTCACTATGTGTTTGTATGTCATCGTGACATATGTACGATTGTGTATGTTTGTGTAGCCATCTGTGTGTGTGTGACTGCATTGAGATGGTGTATGATTTTGCGTGTGCTTGTATGAGGTATGTGTTATGTGTGCATGTGAACTTCCCCCTTACTAGCTTCCTCGTCTGGAATTTGGGGGCAGGAGTCACTGCTGCTTCTAGGGGCTCCCCCACAAAAAATGTTGCTTCCTTCCGCCCCATTGTCCCATTAAGCAGAAAGTCAAGACACTGGTGCTGCTCGGGGGGCAGTGTGTGAATTTGGGCTGTGGAGCCCTGCAGCTCACCCTGGCTCTGAGCCCCATCCTTGCATTCGTCTGTGTTGGGTTCACTCTGCTGAACTCCGAGGGCCCCAGGTTTTGACGAGGCGCTCGGAGAGCCTTTGAACCAAAGCTTGTTGGGTGGCCGTCCACGAAGGCTGAAGCTCTGGCTCACACCTGAGCAGCGCGGCCTGAAGCGGGAAACCCATATCCTGTTCCCCTTGCTGTGGGTGGAGAGTTTAGCGTCTCAGCTCAGGGCCCTTAAGGGACCCGGACAGTGGGGGTGCCGGCCAAGGCAGGTGTTCCTGGCTGTGGCCCTGGAGACCGACCCTAGAGGGGGACAGAGGATGTCAACGTGGCAGGACACGGCCTGGGCCTCTGCTCTCCTCCGGCCTGTGTGTGTGAGGGAGCCGTGTGGACGTGGCCATGTGGCTGGCACACAGGGAGCCAGAGCCTGAACCCAGGCACAGACGCTGACCCTGTCCCTCAGGCCACTCACCATCTGGCTTTTTCTGCTCCAGGCAGGTCTTAGAGCTCCTGGTGGCCCGTCCCCCAGCTCACCTGCCTTACCTGGACCGCAGTGTCCTTGGGTAGTAGTGGCCCATTTCGTGAGAGAGAGAGAGAGAGACATCCAGCCAAGCAGGGCAAATTCCTGGAATCTAAGACGTGTGTGTGTGTGAAAGAGGAGGAGTTGCTGGAGAGAGGGGACCAGGGACAGACAGGGGGGGAAGAACCTCTCCAAGCCTCAGTCCCACCTGTGAGATGGGGAGGCCGTGCCATGTCCCCGTCACGGACCCATGGGAGGGCTGACTCAGCTAACTGGCATCCGCGAGCCCCACACGGACTCTAGGCGCAGACTTTCTGCTCCTGTGGCCTCTCCCCTGGCGTGAGCACATCCCAGCCAGGTCAGTGGGAACAGGGAAATGGCTGTTCCCAGCTATGTGCATTCATACGTATGGCTCCAAAATTAACACAGGGAATAACGTTCTGGGCTGCTGACTCATACCCGTATAAGCCATGCCGGTTCTCATACTTTACCTCTATTAATTAGAAAGAATGATTTCAGAATAATTTTAATTGCCAAGATGGTACAGAGGGTCTCCGCACACCCCTCACCCAGTGTCCACTACCCTTAAAACCTTACATACCCATAATGCTATGATCAAAACCAAGAAAGTAACTTTGGCGCAGTAACTCCACTGACTTTGTCGAATCTCCCGTTTTTCTAGCAATGCCCTTTCTCTGTTCCAGAATCCAATCGGGAGTGCCTGTGGCATTCAGGACCTGTATTGACTTTAGATTGCACAATCGTGGGTGACCGGGAATTTCTCTGTTTAATCTATGAATCTTTGAGTCCCGGGGTGTCGCTCACGTTGATCGGCCCCTCCCCGCAGAGCAACCCCGGCAGGCTCCCAACCCTTTCCCTGCACGCACGCTACCAAGTAAAAGAACACAAGATACCATCGCCCAAGGTAGTTTTCTCACAAACACGTCTTCCCATGAAAACCTAACAAAAAGTCCACAGACAAAAAGGGAAAACAAGAGACGGAGCTTATTAAATTTCCTGTAGGCTGGCCGAGTGCTTTACTTGGTGAAGTCGGGGCGGAGGGGGCGGGAGGTCGTCCTGGCTGCATCTGAGCCAGAGAAGCAGGCTGGGGAGAAACGGGGGAGGCTGCCGTGCGGACAAGAGACGGCTGTCCCGTGAACCAGCACAGGCTGCAGCGGAACTGCAGAAGGGGACGCAGATGGGACGGAGGATTCTGAGAACTGTCATCTTCTTCCATTAGGAGAGAGAGCAAACTTCCACTGAAAGGTGAGCAAACTGGTTCAAGGGCTGACAGTGAAGAGGGAGACCTCCAGGAGCCCAGGTGAGAAAGGGGGGTCAGGAACCCCGTCTGGCATGTGTCGGGTTGGGCAAACTTGTTGGTCATTGGATTGTGGTAAAAGAAATGACCACAAATGTGTTGGCTTGAAAGAACTGTCATTTATTATCTCCTAGTTTCTGTGGGTCAGGAGTCCGGGCACGGCTTGGTGGGGTCCTCTGCTCAGGGTCCTCACGATCAGGGTGCTGGCTGGGCTGTGTTCTCATTTGAAGGTGTGACTGGAGAAGGATCCGCTTCCAAACTCATTCAGGTTGTTGGCAGGGAACTCGGGCCTTCGCTTATGGCTGGCTGGTGGCTGGTGGCCACAGTCAGCTCCTGGGAGCCCCGCGGGCTTCTCCAGCACGGCCGCTTACTTCATCAGGCCAGCTAGGAGCATCTTTATCTCCAGTCTGCTGGCACGGAGTCCTCCATAATGTGATGTGATCACGCCGGTAACTTCCCACCACCTCTGCTGTTGGGTAGAATCCAGTCCTGGATCCTGCCCACACTCCGGGGGAGGGGATGATGCAGGGGTGTGCATGCCAGGAGGTGGAGGTGACTGCGGGTCACCTTAGGTCACCCAGAAGGAGGTTCCAGCAGCCAGCTGGACCTGAGTTGGGAATTCAGAAGAGGGGTTTGGCCTGCCGCTTGTAGATGTTAGAGAAGTGATTAAAACCACAGGCATGGATGGGATCACAGGGAGGGCACGTACCTGCAGGCATCCCTGAAAACATTCATTGACTCTACTTTTAAGTGGTTCTGCTTTTTAATCTGAAAAACCTTTTAAAAGCAAAATGTAGTTACTGTCATACACAAACACAAAAAGAGTAAGAGAAGGCGGCTGGGACAGACAAATGGGACGAACACCAAATGGCACTATTAAACCATTAATAATTATTAATGGTTGTTAATCGGGCCCAGATGAAGGTGAGACAGACAGGACACTCGCCTTGGCACAGAACTTAAGGTGACTCCAAGACCCTCAGTGATCAAGAGAAATAAAATTGCAGTGCAATGTTGGGAATAGTCACCATTGAGCAAAATACCAGCATTTTAAACACAGACCAGGGCCGTGGGTAGGGGAGGAGAGAGAGGAGCCAGTCAGGTGGAAGGCAGGATCCTTTTGTGAAATGTTGATATTCAGTTGTTGGCATTTTTATTTTCTGAAATGTCACGTGACAATTATCTCTCGTCGGCCGAGGTGTTTGGTGTTACCCTAGATTCTGGCCCCGAGGCGAGTGCCTCGGTCACCCTACCCTGGACCCCGGCCCGGGTCTCCTCCCTGAAGGCCGGGCACCTGAGTCCACTCTCTCTTTGGAAACAGACACTGGCACGCGTTGGAGTGGCATTAAGGACACACTGGCCCTAACCCGGGTCTCCATGCCATGTCAGGGGCCTGGAGACCAAGCTTGTGTCCCGCCACATTCACAATTACGGCTCTGTTCACAAAGGCCTCTTGCCTGGCACTTCCTCGCGAACCCCCAAATCGTCCAGCCCCTTCTTGGCTGATGAAGGCAGAGGGGTGCCAGGGTGAACAGATGTCCCAATTTCCAGGTTAAAAGTGGAAAAGTCCCAGGCGACCTAGGCTGAGGGGTCACCCCAAATGAGAGGAACCAGCTCAGTGTGGCCCCAGCACGGAGAGTCGGGCCTCAGCCTCCCACCTGGGCCGTGCATCCTGTGAGCCAAAGGCTGGTCAGGGCGCAGGCTCACGCTGCAGCCGCCACTGCTCTGTGCTCTCGTCACCTGGCCCAGAGACCCTTCCGAGTCCCCTGGATCTTGGTGCACGCTCTGCATCGCAGACCTGGCGTCGAACCTTCCTGAAGCCTTCACTGGTGGCTCCTGTAACTGGGGACAGCACGTCGCCCACTTATTTCTCATTTTACAACCGCACATTCGATCTTCAGCGTTGCCCGGGCTGTTCTCATGTATCGCCTGTCCTCCTACGTGGCTTTCAGAAAAGTAAATCGTATGTCATCATGCCTCCCGCCCTCTCCAGAACTTTCCATCTCCCCAGACTGAAGCTCCGTCCCCATGGAACACTAACCCCCACCCCTCCCCCAGCTGCCGGCCCCACCGCCCACTCTCTGTGTCTGTGGACGGGGCTCCTCGGGGACCCCGCGGGGGTGGGCTCAGACGGGGCTTTCCGCTGCCTGAGGTTGCCGTGTGAGCCACCGTGTGCTCTGATTTTCTCTTAATCATCTATCTTCCCTCTTTCAACTCAGCTTTTGTCTTCCATTCTCTCCCACCCCCAATCTTTGCAAAAAATTAAAATAAAGCAAATTCTAGAAGATATTTTGTAGTCTGAGATAAGGGGCGTGAAGGATCTTCCAGAACCTTCTACCCCTTTGCTTCTCTTTCTTAAGGAAACCACCCACCTGTCAGGGAGAGGCCGTCTCCCTTACATCTGAGTGAAAAAGCAAAGATACATCTAAACAGGCACATTTGGTTTCTGGTCTGCCCAACGCCAAGTAATTTATTTTGACTGACTTTTTCTTTTTCTAAGCCCTAAATGAACTTTACATCTTGGTCAGAAATTTACTTCCATTTAAAAATATAGGTGTTTGGGGAAAGTAGGGCTCTAAATTGACTTTACCTTATGACCGGGGACTGAGAATTAGCTCGTGATCAACCTGACCTTCGGCTTTTCTTTCTCAACGTTAGGTGGAAGGTGACGCAATCCAGAGAGGTTGTTACTGGAGGTGTGTCAGCTTTCTGCAAAGTTAGTAAGGACTTGGCCAATTTATTTATTGGTAAGGTTGTCGGCTTTTCACTCAAACAAATGCCTTTTCTGTGCCAGCTGTTTGTAAAGGCTGCAGAGAGAAGAGGGAGACGCAAAGGGCAGAAGACACCTGTCTGTCCTTGAGGAGTTGGCAAGGGTCTAGAAGGTTCTCTAAAGTGGGCGCGTCTATGCAGTACTTTATAATCGCTTTCCAAGCCAGGGAGCTCTGTCGCCTCCAGGGCTTCACTGCTTTCTACTCCTTAAGTTACTGCATCAGCACCAAACATCCGTTTTCCTCGTCCCCATAGGCACAAGGCGAGGCCAAGACTCCCGCCCGCCCGTTCCCCGCTGACCTCTCCCGACGTGCTTCACCATCGTAACCGTTTCTGAGCGCACAGCTCACGGCGTGAAGCGCACTCACATGTCGTGCAGCTGTCCCCACCCTCCATCTCCAGAACTTGCCATCCTCCCAGGCTGAAGCTCTGTCCCCATGAAACACTAACTCCCACCCTCTCCGCAGCCCCCAGCCCACCACCCACTCTCTGTGTCTGTGGACGGGGCTCCTCCAGGGACCTCCTGGGAGGGGGATCAGACAGGGTCTGCCCTTTGGGTCTGGCTGATGTCACTGAGCACCGTGTCCTCGAGGTCCGTCCACTCTGTAGCAGGGGTCAGGGTTTCTTTGGGAGCAGAATAAACGTAGAATGGCTAGAAGTGGGGGCGAGTGGTGCTGAGGGGTGAGAGGAGGTCAGGGCCACGATTCTCAGCCTGGTGCTGCAGGGAGTGAGCAGCCACGTCATAGAGTCCAGCGTCTCCCCCTCGGCACTGTGGACACTGGAGCCAGGCCATTCTCTGGGGGGCCATCCTGGGTGCTGTGGCGGGTGGAGCAGCACCCCTGGCCGCCACCCTCAATGCCAGGAGCACCCCCAGTGTGACGCCCCCAGACATGGCCCAGTGGTCTAGGTAGATACCTCAGGTTGTATGAGAAGTGGGTGGGTGGGGGCAGGCCTGGGGTGAGCAGGAACACCACCGGCCCAGGGCAGGGGTGTGGCGCAGGGGGCAGCAGGTTTGCTGGGGGAAAACATCCCACCAGGGCCTCCCTGAGCTGGGGGTGGAGACGTCCGGGTGTCACGTTGCGGCCTGAAGCTCCGAGAGGGCTAGAGGCTTCCATCTGCAGGTCGTTGGTGCATCAAGGGTCACTGGTGCCAAGCTCCTGAGACTGCGCAGGTGCCGCGGGAGGCCTGGGGGGTGGGGGTGGGGAGGGCCTTCCGCACGGACGATGACGTAGGTGCAGCTTACAAATGCTCCGCTCGGCGGCTCCTCTACCGTCGTATCAAGATTTCACCAACGAAGGAGGCCAGAGAGTGAGGGCACGAAGGCCTCACGGGAGGCCCGGCTGTCACGCCTGCAGACCGGGAGCCCCTAATTGGACCTGGGAGAGGAGCTTGTCGGGACCACAGCTGCTTGAGGCCCCGCGTCTGGGGCCCTGCAGAGCCCTGGGTGGTGGAATGGGCGCCCCAGTGTGCCTGGAGGTGGCGCCACCTAGAATTCCCATGGGCCTGACTGTGACTTGTAGCGTTTTCTTTTTAAGGATGGCAGTAGCCATGGGGGAGCGTTTCCTTAGCGTCCTTGAAGGACTTACTGCCCCAGCTTTGGCCCACCATGAACTGTACACCTTGATCTTGTAGGAGAGATGGTCCCATCCTGTCTGAGCAAGGCTAGCCTCGATGCCAGGGGCAGTCCAGCGGAGACCTGCTCTTGTCCCCTGAAGTCCTGCTGTGTCCCCCCGCCTCTTCCTTCAGGGACCTGAGCGCATCCCTCCTTCTTGTTGGCAGCCAGGATGGTGGCCAGCAGCCCCAACCTACCAGGGGCAGCTTAGGAGGCCTAAGGAGAAGGCGCTTCCTCCACCCATGAGTAACTGAACTGTATGCAATCGAGAATGGCCTATTTCAGTCTAGAAAAGTGGCAATATCGTGAAGTTGAAGTTCAAGGAGGAAATTCAATTGGCCTTTTTCAGTCGTGCAAATTCTTGGACCAGCCAGGGATGAGGATTGGCAGGCCTGGGTCCAGTGTGGACCAATCATCATGCAGATGAAGGAGTGGGTGCTTTGATTGGCAGGTCTGGGTCCAGTGTGGACCAATCATCATGGCTGGAGGAGCGGGTGCTGTGATTGGCAGGCCTGTGTCCAGTGTGGACCAATCATCATGCAGATGGAGGAGTGGGGGCTGTGATTGGCAGGCCTGGCGGCCAGGTGGGTCAGGCCCCAGGATTTGGGAGAGCTGGTCGCCA